TAATGTTTTAGTATATAAACTTTTCGATCTTTAGTGTTTACTATTTCATTAGTTCTGAAAAACACTTGGGTTTGGAATACGTTTTACTGAGTCCACTAATAAAGTTAAATGACCTAGACAAAACATCACTCCTATACGTTTCTTCCCGATCAAGAATCGGACGCAATAGCTGTAACAAGTGGTACCATGACATGAGCACCGAGCTTATTCCGGCTGCATATAACAGATGTTTCAAGCAACAAACACACTGGCTGTACAATGCATGCCGTTCCACAAGGCCTCTATCGATATTTAGGATAATTCAGGTGCTGAACATACCCTGAAAACTTCCGAAAGGCTAATAGTAAGTTGTGTATAACATGGAGCAACTCAAAGGTCTTGATGACGCATTGAGCATAATCGTCAACCCAGCAACTGATCTGAATAATGGAGAACCCCCATAACACAACAGACGTTGAAGAAATCGATTAACAAAAAACTTCATATTAAAATTCCAAACCCTTGGAGAAAGCACGAAATACAAGGAACACTAAAAAACGGCATGATTCGCCAGACACGGCTCAGAATCGATCACAATGGCGTCGGTGTATACACTCTTTGTCTTCCTTTGAACTGTGAGATTAGAACTGCTTTATATCTTTCTTTCCGCGAACCAATTCTTTCTGTATTATGTCTTTCTTTTATACATTACTATTAATGAAGTGACTACCATGAATTTATTGTGCTAATGAGGTAAGGCAACTTGGACCGATGCATATATAGTCAGTCAACCTGGTCCTACGTTGCAGCTGACTAGCTGATTCACCAGATATAGCTTTAGGACCCTATATCAACACAGCAGTCAGTCAGTTACAACGTAGGACCAGGCACATATATCCATCGGTCCAAGTTTCCATACCTCATTAGCATAGCAAGATATACACCAGATTCATAGAAGCAGTTAACTCGATGGTGTAATACATACAAGAAAGATTTTGTGTAAGGATATAGTACAGAAAGAAAGGATTAGTTCGTAGAAAGAAATACATGAAGCGATTTTAGTCTCATAGTTTAAGAGAAGACAAAGAGTGTATATACCTAAGCGATTGTGATCCATTCTGACCGACCGTTGTTGCTACCTTGACGTGGTGGTCGGGCTTGCCTATCGTGATGAACCGACCGAGCTATACTGGCTGAAACAATCGTTCCTCAAGGTCCTACCATGCCAGACAGGTCTGTTGAATAACGGCAAAACTAAAAGCAACAAACCCAAGGTCCGAAGGCCAAGTTGTACTGCTCACTGTACAGAGATGCGACGGCAGTACAGTGTTTCCTTCAGACAACCAGCATAACAGTGTTGCTGCCTTCCCACAAAGAAGGGTGGAGTTGGAAAACGTCAACGCTAAAAACACACACCTCGCCTTATCCCACAGATATCCGTCTCGGGCGGTAAGGTCTCAACAAGTACAGAGCTAACACGAAAAAGTACTCACAAAAATGTCGTGTTTGACCGACCTCAAGCAGCTGTCCCTTGGGCAGTGCGGTCACGCTCTCCTTTTCAGGCACCTTCAGAAGAATCCTTCCACGGTGTTGTCAACCGGGAAGTGATAACCGCCCTCATACCTCTAACAGCACTCAAGACTACTGTATTCATATCAGCACAGCAAAGACTATTATATATGAACAATTTCCGAGAGATATCCAAGTGGTCTTCAGATGCCTCAACCACTTGCGACTTAAAAACTGTAGTAAATTTATTAGTCTTACTCTTTGCAGATGACAAATATTTGGAGACCCAAACACAATATATCAGATAGAATTATAGTGCAGAATAATCTAAATTCAATGGTTAAATGAATAGATAGGTCATTAGAAGTCAACTCTAACGAGAGTGTGGTAACGCAATTAAATGACTGCCACGACTCGTATTACTACACAATACGTGAAGTTGTGTTACCCTAAGTAATGGACTATAAAAATTTAGGATTCATAATAAACAACTACAAAACTACGAGTAACTGCAAGACTGCCATTGCCACGGGCTTCAGTGTCTTATGGGCTATTCGCAAGTCATTTCAGTATATCTGTTATAAACTATGTGCAAGGGCATAATCTTTTCTCCAGAGAGCAATATGGTTTTCGGGGAGGCCTATCATGTTTGACACATCTCATTGCAAGAGAAGACTGGGCTGCGGCTAAATATCGGGATATTAATGTAGATGTGATTTTCATAGTTCTAAGTAAGGCCTTCGATAAGGTCTCCCATTCTGGTCTTAAATTAGAACTGGAAAGTTTTGAAATCCATTATAAGGTCATAGACTGGATGAGCGACTTTCTCCATGACAGAGGACAAAAGGTAAGGGTTAATGGAGCCCCCTCATTGTGGGTACCTGTAAAAAGTGGAGTTCCCCAAGGTGCAATCCTCGGTCTTCCTCTCTTTTCACTTTATGTAAATGAATTACAAACTGTAGCAAAATCATCCGTTCTACTTTTCGCTGATGGCATAAAAATTTGGAGACCAATACACAATATATCGGGTAGAATAGTATTACAGGATGACCTTAGCTTATTGGTGGTATGGTTGGACAGGTGGTCACTAGAAGTGAATCCTAATAAGAGTGTGGTGATGCAATTAAATAACTATGATGGATCGTATCACTACACAATATGTGGATCCGTGCTACCCAAAGTAAGAAACTATAGATTTAGGAGTTATATTAAGCAGTGATCTTAAAACTAATAGTCACTGTAAGGCTGGTGCTGCGAAAAGCTATAGGGCATGATGGTCTATTTGTAGGTCTTTCCAGTATTTAGATGACGAAATGTTTAAATTTTTATACCCGATTTACGTGAGACCACATTTAGAATATGGGATCCAAGCAGCGAGTCCTTGTTTCAAGTATGAAGCAGATATGCTGGAAAGAGTCCAATGACGAGGTCTTTCTGGCCTATCTTATGAAGACAGGCTGAGACACCTTAGTCAGCCAGTCAGTAACAACGTAGAACTTCGTACGTACGTACATCAGTTCGAGTTGCCACACCACATTAGCACAGAGATGCAGTTGTCGATTCAAATCCCGTAGTGGTAGAGGTAATAAGAGTATAAGCTGTAATCGGAAAGATTAAGGTTTGAAGATGTTATTCAAGGAGTACAATCCAGTGAAACAAATTTGGAAAGAAAATAAGGGACATGAAGAATTCAGAAGATTAGAATTTGGGAGAAAACAAAGAGTGTATGCACCTGCGCCATTGCAAACAATTTTGAGCCATGTCATTCAGGGTCTCTAACCATCGGTTGCTATCATCTCGCGGTCCCCAACCAGGTAGTCTACACCTACCAACATGACTCAGTCCACTTGTCAGTGACTTCATGGACTTGTGCAATGTTTTGGTTTGGCCGCCCCTACCTTTCTTCCAATCTACTTCTATACCACTGAACATGGCACGTCGAGGCAGTCGGTCGTTGGGCATACGTAACACGTGTCCCAGCCATCTCAACTGATGAAGTTTCACTACTTCATCAATTGATTTGCTATCATTACCTAGTACCCGTTTCCTAACAACTGTGTTACTTACTCGATGGTCCCATGATATACGAGCAATGTTTCGAAGACACCTATGATCAAATACTAGTAACCTACGGATATCCTCTACTCTTACCGGCCATGTTTTACTGCCATAAAGTAGGACGGAACGAACTGCTGCGCAGTAAACACGTCCTTTGGTTGAGAGACGGATATCTCGCCTACACCATAAATGACGCAAGTTGGCAAAGGCTAGTCGAGCCTTCTGTATCCGTGCTGAGATTTCGTCACACACCAGACCACAAGGGCTGATGAGACTTCCAAGATAAGTGAAGCGATCGACACGCTCAATTACTTCACTCCCTATCATTAGTTCGGGTGTCAATGCAACCCAATCCTGAAGCAACATTTTACATTTCGAGGGGGAGAATCGCATCCCGAACATGCTTTCATTGTTGCTTAGAGTGGTCAGAAGACTCTGCATTTTGTCAGCGTCTTCACCAAATAAAACTATGTCATCAGCATATTCTAAGTCAACAAGTGAACCTCCCGGTACAAGTTCAACCCCTGGAAATTTAGATGAGGAGAGTGTTATCTCTAAAAGTACGTCGACCACAAAGTTGAACAAGAATGGGGAGAGTGGACAGCCCTGACGAACACCACTTGAGGTAATCAATTCTGATGACAGTTCACCATAAGCTCTTACTCTACCAGTTGTGTTCGAGTAGAGAGCCTTTATTTTACCGTAGAATACGGGATGATCTAATATTGGCTTATCGTATACTGAACGATAACCTTGGTGTTGATTTGTCTTAACTTTTAGTTCCGTCTAGGACTGATCATTTGAGAGGACATTCAAGGAAAGTTCAAAAACCGAGATTAAATCGTCTACGTCTGGAGTTTCGTCTCTCGCACTGAGTACTGGATTACTAGAATTCTCTACCAGAATACGTAATATCAGCACCTTCTGTTGATATATTCAAAACGAGATTGTACCTCCACAGTGTTACAAACTGCAATGATTAATGTAGGTCGATATTCCACTGATCCTGATTACTAAAGAATGATGTAAGATCAAGAGTTTAAGGATTAAAACTGCAAAATAAAGTTGACTTTGGCACCACGAAGTTTTGTGAGCTACAATGTCAAAATATACAGCTATATAGATGAATAAATTCTGTGACAAATTTCAAGAGTTGCTTTCCGTTATCTGCTTGATTAGTTCATCAATTATAGTCCTGTAGGGTCAAAGCAGAGAGATTCCAGTATTCATCAACTTTGGACTTTCAGAAAAGTAAGTCATCGACCAATTTTCTTCCTAAAAGAGTCCATAGACTGGGTACGAACACAACACAAGGCGTATTAAATCACTCAAGTGAAATCAGAGTTCTAATTCCATGAAAAAAACTTTCTTTTCATTGAATAGCACCATTACTTAGTATTTAGGAAAACGGCTAACTGATTGTATGAATGGAAAGTTCAGAAACCCATACTTACGTTGGAAATTGTACACCTACCAACACAGATGAAAGACGTGTAGCGGAGGTGTTAAATAACTAACTCAACTATTGTACAATTTAATATTTTCTGCTATATACTTTATTTCGCTATAGTATAGCAGTACAGCCTCATTAACCCCACTTTATGCGCGAATTCATGATTGTGACTTGCCGAATTTTTAGCTTATTGGGAATTTTTAGCAACTTACAACAATCAGTTTCATTTTAGAAGGGACAGGAAGCTAGGTGGCCTGTGTTAGTCCTGGTGATGGTGACCTCTCGCTTGATCAAACTTTTTTGGAAGCGTCGACAGATGGGGCTTCAATTGCGTGTTAAGGTAATGAATTCCATTCGTCGGTGGTTCCATGGGAAAGTCGATAGTCAGTTGACAAGTTATTTGTCTTAGGCTTGTGAACGTCTTTGAAGTATCCTCGTAAGTTTTATTTTTTGAAAGACAAGAAGAATGAGGGAATATCCGATGCAAATTTATCATTAAGTAATCTGAAAGCTATGGTCAAGTCATCTCTGGTTCTTCGATGTGACAATGGAAATAGGTCTAGTTTAGCCAGTCGAGCATCATCCTTGAGTTTCACTATACCGGGAATCAACTTAACTGCTGTCCTCTGAACATTTCCCAGAGGCTCACTGTCTTTTTAGGCAGAGGCTGGCCGCTTGTATGTAGTGCTCGAGTTAAGGACTCGCAAATACCGTATACAAAGTCAAGAAAGTTTTGGCATGAACATGGCTAAAGGCCCTACATATTAACCATAGGGTTCTAAAACCGTTGGTGGCTAACGCACTGAGGTGTGCAGCAGTTTTTAGGTCTTGGATAACGATGACTCTCAAGTCATTGTGTGTCTGGACAACAGGTAGCTCAACGTTATTCATCGTGTATGTATCTGTACTCTGATGACCAATATAAGTCACAATACACTCGAAAGTATTTATCGGCAACTACCAATTTTGAGACCATTCAAATAGCTTAGAGCTTCAAAATAACCTGAAGAAATTATCACGTTTACTTTCTGTTACCCCCCATATCAGCATATAGCATATAGTAAGATCGATGATGACAGAAGACTTGGAAGGCCATTTACATACAAGGGGAACAACACTGACCCTAAAACTGTACCGTAATGCACTCTGCTAAGTACAATCTCCCAGTTAGGTAACTTGATGTTCACCTGTACATTTTATTGATGCCCAACTAGGAAGTCTTTTGTACACGTTAATAAATGGCCTTCAACCCCGATGTTACTTAACTTATATAACAGTCAGTTGTGGGGATCTTTGCTAAAAGCTTAGCTGAAATTAATGTAGGCTGCAACTTTATGTAACTTTTGGTTTTTAATAGCTCATATGCTGCTAGTAAATTAATGAGACATGTAAAACTCGTTCTTTATTCATGCTTCCTTTAAGAAAGAATCTGGTTTACGTCGAGATACTGTAGAGTTGTGTCGAGTCGAGATTGACTATGAACGCCACTACAAGGAAACGCGTACCAAACAAATCAGAAGGCGAAGGTTGAACGTAACCAGATTTATTTCGTTGGCGATCTCATGGTATCAAACGAATACCAAGATCGTGCCAAGAAATGGTACAAGCGAAAACAGGAGAATGGAGTACGTGCGAACAAAGCCAAAAACCGCGGAACATTGATGAAAGGTAATGGAAGCACAAAATGGCTGTAATTACCACAGTTAAACAAAAGCACATTAAAACAAGCACTGGTACAGTTGGTTATATTAATAATTGTTTTCATTAAACCAGTCGTCTTCTCGTGATAAAAGTGAGTCGCTACAGGAGCCCTCCGCTAGAAAGGGTTTATACTTTCGATAAATAGCGGTTTTAATCCTGGGACTGATCGGCTGACGAGCGATTGTAGGACAGAAAAATTGGCGGATCAGGAAAGCGATCGTTGATCGTCGAGTTGCCAACGAAGGTCTTTTTCGGAGAACGGTACCAGGAGCGATGTGCTGTATTTGTTGCTTGAGTTGGCATACTACACCAGAGTGGTTTGTCGCCAGGATCTGAAGATTGCGTTCTCAGGGATGCGGACCAGAAACGCTTCAGACGTAGGACGAAACCACGTTGAGCCGAGGAACCAGAAGCGACCATAACGACCAAGTTCGAGACCAAGCGTGTGCCAAGCATTCGAAACCAGAATATCGACTGAGTGCGTTGACAAGAGCGTGGGTGATAGGGCCAGCTTTCGCCGAAGTCGGCTGGAGTCGACGATACCAAACGGAGATGGTCGAAGGCGTGGGCTTAGGCTACGGAAAGAAATCAAATAAGGGAAGAGTGTAGCATGCGTGTAGTACAGGAATAGTCCTACACCAAATCGGTTGTTAACTATGCGGCTAGTCGCGGAAGCGTACAGGCAACCGCACTCGGCGACTGGAACGTGAGACGACAGTCTCGTTCGCGTCGCGCGAGCCTGCAATTTCATCCGTCAAAGGCGGCGTGGTCTGTTGATCTGGACGTGAGACTATCGTCTCGTCCGTAGACGGTGCAGACGACGCGTGCTGTTGACCAGGACGTGGGAATGGGGTCTCAGGTGTATCTAGCGTGGGATCTGAAGATGGTTTGCGGATCCCGCTAGTTGGTTTGATAGGTCTAGCATTGAATCTCAGGTTATCAGATAGGGCTCTGTCATTGACGTGTGCTGGTTTGAGGCGATCAATGCTGACGATCTCGACGCGGCCATGTCGATCAACCTTGAAGGTCTTTTCGTGACGAGCGATGACGCGAAAAGGGCCTTCGTAAGGTTGTTGCAAGGGTTTGCGTTCCGAGTCTACTCGTATGAAAACATGTGAACAGGTAGATAACTCTCGAGGGGGGCAACCTGTCGATGTTGTATTCGAGTTGACACCGAAGACAGCGTTCGCATAAATACAGACAGTCGTCAGACGTAGTCTGATTTACCGAAATTAGGTCTGCTCCATGGTGTGAAGAATTCTCCAGGCAGGCGCAATGTCGTGCTGTATACAATTTCAGCGGCGGAACATTGGATATCTGCGTTCAAGCTCGTTCTAATGCCTAAGAGAACGAGCGGTAAGGTTTCGTACCAGTTTTCGTTTTCGTGTGCTTGTAGAGCACTTTTAAGTTGGCGGTGAAACCTTCCAACTAAACCATGAGAAGCTGGATAGTAGGTAGTAGTGCGTATGCGCTCCGTACCAAGCAGCCGATTAAGTGAGGAGAATAATGCGGACTCAAATTATTGTCCTCGGTCAGTCGTGACGGTCGAGGGGCAACCATGTAGAGCTATCCATCGTTCTACGAAGCGGTGAGTAACTGTCTCCTCTGTGACAGACGTGATGGGTATAGCTTCGGGCCATCTGGTGAAACGGTCGATGCACGTGAGTATGTGATCACACCCATGGTGGCAGTGGTCCTACAATACCTAAGTGAACGTGATCGGAGCGAGCATCAGGCGTAGCAAATGTGCCAAGGGAGGCGGCTACGTGCCTGTGCACTTTTGATCGTTGACACTGTATGCATTGCTTCGCCCACATACGAACATTTTTATTCATGGACGGCCAGACGTATCGTGCAGCGATGAGACGTAATGTAGCTGCGATACCTGGATGAAATGATCCATGCAGGGCATCGAATACGAGACGGCGATAAGCAGATGGTACGATGGGTCGAGGAAGACCGGTAGAATTATCGCATAGGACGGTGCCAGAATTCGTGGCTAGAGGTACTTCCTGATACTGAAGGGACGTAGAGTGTGGTGCTTTTGCACAACAGAGCTCGTTTGCTTGGGCGGCGGCCATAGCAGGAAGATCGAGCACCGGTAAAGTAACTGCATTCGCTTGGATATGTGACAAAGCATCTGCAACATAGTTCGACTCGCCTTTAATGTGACGAAGGTCTGTCGTGAACTGGGAGATATAGTCCAAATGTCTGCACTCTCGTGGTGAGTAGCGGTCAGATTTGGTATGCAAAGCATACGTTAAGGGCTAATGGTCGGTGAATAAGATGAAGTGACGTCCTTCTACTGCGTGCCGGAAATGTTTGATGGCGCAGTAGGCTGCTAGAAGCTCGCGACAAAAAGCGCTATATCTCGTCTCTGTGAGAGTAATGCGTCGTGAGAAAAACTCGAGGGGTTGCTAACTACCGGAGATGTTTTGTTGCATGACTGCTCCTATAGCGAGATCGGATGCATCAACCGCTATACTAAACGTGGCTGATGGATCGGGATGGGCGAGAAGAGTGGCTTGCGCTAGAGCCGCTATGATCTCTGTAAATGCAGTACGTGCAGAATCGTTCATTTATAATCTGTTTGGGTTGCCTCGAAGTAAGTCGGTTAGTGGTCGTACCCGTTCTACCGCGTGTGGGATGGAACGACGGTAGGAGTTAACCAAACCGAGAAACGCCTTCAGTTCCTTGAGTGAGGACGGCACGTTGTACTCCTTTATTACTTGCACTTTGTCCTCGCAAGGTAGAATACCCTCTTGCTTGATAATGTGACCCAGGAATATTATTTATCGTTTACCCAACTCGCACTTGTCTGGGTTAACTACTATTCTGTTATCCGAAAGGCGTTGGAATAATAGCGTAAGATTTTGATAATGTTCATCTACTTTTGATGATGCGATTAGCAGGTCATCAACATAGACGTGAACAAAATCTAGGTCTTGTACAATGCTATCGATAAACCTTTGAAAAGTTTGAGCAGCATTCCGTAATCCAAAAGGCATTCGTAGGAACTCAAACAAACCGAAAGGAGTTGTGATAGCAGTTTTTTCGATATCTTCAAGAGCGACTGGGATCTGCTGATATGCTCGTACCAAATCGATCTTAGAAAAGATAGTCGTGACCTTGAGCGATGCCGTGATGTCGTTTATGTGGGGGATGGGGTAGCTATCAAAGCGCGTAACTACGTTTAGGGCTCGGTAGTCGCCTCATGGTCTCCATTTAACCCCATCTTTTTTGCGTACCATATGAAGAGGAAAGGCCCATGAACTGTGAGAAGGACGAATAGTACCAGTAGCTAATAAATTGTCAAACTCGCGTTTAGCGAAAGCTTATTTGTCCGACGCCAGTCGACGAGGTCGTGCTGTGACT